AACCCTCAGTATGCATCTGTAGCTGAGAAATGCCAAACCAAACACCATAGGAAAATAGCCAACTTAGGAACCAAGGCCTAACACAGGACCTGGCACACAGGAATTACTGAAAAAATATTTGTGGACTACAGAGATCTCTACTAATATGCCAAGTACATCCAACTTTGTGGAAAAAAGAAGAAATATTTCAAACAGTAGAATGGACTTTTGTGTTCAAATAAATTTATTTCACTCCATAAACCAGCTCCACAAGGGATACTATCTCCAAACCTAGTAACACTGTTATGTTCCCCCAAAAGGAGTATGTAAGATAATCACAAAGGGCTAATTTTAGAGAGAATAAATGATTAAAAAATGTATTGGTCTTTGCCTACATCCCGAATCACATAACTCTGAAAGAATATATTATCACATATATTATTATCATATTCTTATACCTGATCTACTGTAATGAAAAAGTTTAAAATATAGAAAAGGGAAATGAAAATATCATCCACAGTGATAATACAAAGCCACTATTTAGTGAATTTCCTCAGACATTTTTCTTTGTATACTTTTTATTAGTTTTACATGGTTGTGATCCCACTGTATGAATATTTTTGTATTCTGCATTTTCAGTAAACAACAGTATGAAAAGTGCTTGAGAATCTACTGCCTACTTAAGAAAATATCAAACTCAAAACCAAACCATATGTACAAGTCATAAGAATTCTGGTCTCCACTCAATCCCCAATCCCCTTTATTCATTTAACGAGTATGTATTGTAGGTGCCTATTTTGTACCACATGCAGTGCCAAGGACTAAAAGTACAAAAGAAAAGTAAGTTAGAATTTTTGTCCTCAAAGAGTTCTCAACTCAGTAACTACCCTATACCTTCACAGATATATGAACTTACCTATGTCAGTTTGAAGCTAATGAAATAAATGCTTGAAATTTAACTATTTTTAACTTGATTCTTTTCAGGAAAATAACTAAATACCTAAAAGTTTATCTCAGACAACAACTGAAGTTTTCTGCATTTGATATGGTTATATTCTTATAGGTGAAAGAGCTGCAATTCTTTTAATCATTTTACGATAGGTATTTTTCAATATTTGTTGCAATTTGTTCTCTTTATTGGCCTTGAGATCAGCTGTGCTTCAGAAACCAATATAAGAGTTTTCATTTCCTTAAGGTGTAAAATTTCAGATTATTCATCATACCTTCCTCCATCCTACATATTTGCATGATACATTTGTTTATGTGTTGGTATATAGTCATAGCCATCTATTTAGGTAGAGAAGATGTAAAGTAAATGCTTCAGTAATCACAGGTGCTTACACCCAAATATATCATGAGCCACATGCACCTGGAATTATTTGCATTCTATGCACAAACATCAGAAATGTGTCTTTCTTCACTTCTCTGGAAAAATTTAAGCACTCCTAGTTGGAGAAGGAAATGGCAACCCACTCCAGTGTTCTTGCCTGGAGAATCCCAGGGACGGGGGAGCCTAGTGGGCTTCCATCTATGGGGTCGCACAGAGTCAGACACGACTGAAGCAACTTAGCAGCAGCAGCAGCAGTTGGTAATTTCCTTTGATATTTTCCTATTGAAGTCTAGTCTAGTTGCCTAAATGGTGTCTCAAGGTATAAGAGATAAAACAAGGTACTGAGTCATAATTTCAAACCTTCTGAAACATACCTCAAGTGATAATGAGTGGGAGCCATGGAGCACTAAGCAGTGAGGAGCTGCACATAATAACAAGAAAATCTGTTCTCCGTGTGAGGCTCCACCACTTACTAGTGACGTAAGTGTTAACAAGTTGTCATTAATATGAGCCTCAGTTTTCTTACCCATAAAATTGGTATGGCGATAGTCTCTCCATACTTATATCATTACTACTTTACTACTGAAAAGCAAATCCTTATAAAAATGTAAAATGCTACACAAATGTTAGGAATTAGGTCCAAGGATCATTACTTTATAACCAATTCCTAGAAAGTTCACATAATCAAGTTTTATTTTTTGAAAGGCTCTGTTCCCTTACATCTACTTATTAGTTGTCATAAGGTTTTACATAAGAGAGGTGTGTTTTTCAGAGCAACAGCACCTGTAGTTTATGGAAAGGGGTGATGCTGTTACCAACAAACTGGTAGAAGGCTCCAGAGACATGTTTAGGAAAGAGAAAAAGAGAACTAGAGCAGGAAAGCAAATTGGATGGCAATTTGAGTTCCTCCTAGTTTAAGATTGGGTTTAATGTGGAGACATGCCTATTATTCCATGTCTCTCTACACCGAGAACTTAAAAAGCTGTTAGGATACAGATCCTTTAGAGAAGTCCAATAATTTTCATTTCAAAGTCTTTATGGGCCTTAGGCATGAAAGAGTCACTAATGGTTTTAACCTTTGGAGACTGAAATAGTTTTGTTTGCCAATGTTTTTATGTTAATGAAGATTACCTAGCTAGGTCCCTAATGACATCTGTTTATATCAGACCTCCCAGGAAGCAGCAATCTATATACTAAAACAAAATTAACACCAGCACAGTAGTTATGATCACCAAAAATCTAAAAGGCAGTAAAAGACAATACCTTGATAATGTTTTATGCTACTAACCTACAGGAAATAAACATGCTTTACTAGCAACTGTGTAGGAATTTTTCTTCCCTTAACTGAAAGCCATATGGAGGGAGGGAAATCTCTGTCTTTATGCATTTACTTTGACTAGTGAAAGCACTGTCAAAGATTCTAATGTCAGATCCACAAGGTAGCACAAATCTATGGATATAGTATGGATTCTCTCAACTAAACTAAACAGCAGCTGCCTTCCTAGCCTGAATACCTAAAAAATGTATATATTCTTTTTTTTAACACCTGGCTTCTTTTTTCTTCTCACTTGACCATCTCTCCCATTAGCACATAATAGTCTCTCTCCTCTCTCTTCCTCTCTCTTTGACCACAGTGCAGTATTCCATTATGCAAATCTCTGTCAGTTTCTACAAATATTCCCTGATTCTTGGAGGCTTTATTGTTTCCAATCATCTGCTATTATGTACAATGCTTCAATGAGTAACTCTGCTTACTTTATTTCAATCTATCTACAGAATAGATCTAAAAGTGACATTGCTTGGTCAAAGGGCAAAATGCATCTGTAATTTTGATAGATATAACTAGCTTCTATTCCACAGGGACTTGTGTTATTTTCTACTCCCACCAAGTGAATAAGGTACTTATTTCCTGAAGACCGTTTATCAAAATGCACATGCCTGGATTCCATCCCCCAAATTCTGACTCAATACAGTGATGGGGCCTGAGCAGGCCTGTTGAAAAAGCTCCCCAAACAGCACATCCCTGGCTGAGAACCCTGTTCTAAAAGGTATCCTAGTCTTGTTTACATTGTTTAAATGCAAAAGAAAATCAGAGTAAATCTTTTAACTTCCAAAGTTTATACTCCTTGTCACTCATTCAGTATAACTTTTCGAGTACCTGTTCTGTGCTGGGCATTCTAGATGCCGAGGATATAAAGATAAATATTATTATAGCATCAGTCTTCAGGGAGTTCACAGAGTCTAACAATGAGAAACACACACACACACACATATAAAATTAAGAAACAAATAATAAGCATAGGATTAGAGATTTACATAAAATTTTATAGGAATACTGAAAAGGGGCACTTCACCCTAATAGGAATGCCAGAGGAGGTTTCCTGAAGGAGAAGCTCCTAGAGCTGAGTAGGAATTAAACAGGTGAAAGGGTGAAGAAATATACAAGAGGGCATTCCAGGCAGCAAACACCACATGCAACAATAGGAAGTAGGAAACAGAAGGGATGTATATGTGTTTGTAACTGGAAACATTTCATGTTGCTAGAGCATAAATTACAAGGGACAGAAGTAAGCAACAGGCTGCAAAAGCAGGCAAACTTCAGATCACTGAGCATCGAGGTCATGATAAGAAGCTTGAACTTTATCCTATAGACAAAGAAAGTCACTCAAGGGTTTCAAGGTTGGGAGTGACACAATCAGATTGCTGTTATAGAATTAAGGACAATGGACTGGAAGGGCGCATAACTGGAAAAAGAATGAACAGTTAGGAAACTGGTACAGTAGTCCAGATGAAGGAATGAACAAAGGCTGGGATTAAAGACAGAATGCACGGAGAAATCTTAAGAGGCAAAATGAGTAGGATGTTGTCATTAAATATGGGGGTAGATGTGAAGAGAGGGATGATTTCAAGGTATGATCAAACCATTACCAGCAAAGCACTGGACTGAAGCTGTTTTTCCAGCGGCAATCATGGGTTTACACAGATTCAGTCATGCTCTCTCACCTGGTCTTACTGTTTGTAAGGCCAAGGATAGAAGCACAGGGCCCAGGAAACACTGAGCCTGAACTGGTGAGCTTCTCCTTGAACATCATGCTCTAATCAACTAAGTAAAGCAACCACAAGCTACCCCAACAGGCCAATGGGACATTTCATGATCCGATCTCTGATGCACCCTCTCTTATAGTAACTCCTCTAGTGATGAGCCGCTTGATCCCGTTTTCCTCTTTACCCATGAAGCCAGTGACCAAGATGATCGCTAGCTACAAAAAAAAGCTGCCAGCACGGAGAACAATATGTGGTTGAGGTACAGCAGCATCAATAGCTGTTTCCCCAAAACTTAACCCAAAGTCAAGCTTGGCTTTACAATATTAGCAATTTTTGGCAGCCTGCGACCCTGCCACCAAACAAAGCCAATCTCTAGAGAGGAGAAGATATGGGGGAGGGTCCCCTCTGAACCCTTCCCATTCCCCTGATTTATGTAAGTGTAATGGCCCTATGGGGATGGAGCAGGAGGGTGTCGTGTGTAATTCATACTAAACCTGGCACTTGTCTTTCTTCTCAGAGTTCCTAAAAACCAAACTCAAGAGAAACTGAAAACTAGCCCATCAGATGAAATCAAGTCCACTGTTATAAAGCTGTGAATGAAAATACATACAGACACACACACCACACAAGTAAGACCAAGGCTTACCTTTCTTTTATCTTCATCTGTTGATTCAAATTTGAAAGTAGCCCTATGCTGAAGAGGGAAAAAAGGGAAACAATGTCATTTTAAATATACAGATTTTTCATTTTGGCTATGTTAAAAAATCTCTGATGTCTATAAAAAAAGTTGTCTTCCCAAATCACCTCAATATTCTTACTAAAGAAAACGAGAAGTAAGCAAATAACTATAAAGCAGTACAAAAAGACTAAAGCAAAAACATACACAGAAGAGAACAGAGTACCGAGCCACAAACCACCCAGGGAAATCTGGAATGCTTTGCATAGAGTATAGAGCATTTGAGCTGGACCTTGAGGGATGAATAGGAGTTTGCCAGGAGGCAAATGAAAGCATTCTGGGGATGGAAACAAAGGCTCATGTGTGAAATGGCATGATATATTTGTGAAATAAGCAGCTCTGTGGGAATGAAACACAGGACACATGTTAGAGGATGACAGGAGTGGAGAAAGATAAGAGTGGGAAAGTAGACTAGACAGAGATTTGGAAGGATCTTCCAATGTTGTTCAGGAGCTTGTACTTTATCAAACGCACTAAGAAATCACCAGAGAGTCATAGATAGGGAAGGACAGTAATTCTGTAAGAATGAGAGTTTAAACCATGGTTCCACCACTTACTAGTTAAGCAAGTAACAAATTATAACTGTATTTCTCATGTGAAAAGAGGGGTGCCTACTTCACAAAGCTGCTGTGAGGGTTAAAGCAGCTAAGGCATATAGTGTACCATCTGAGCGCCTAGTACATAGTAAACACTCAGTTAGCATTAGGATGACAATGATGATGATGCCAATGATACTGAGAAAAAATAACTGAAAGAAAACGAGGGTCACGGCTCTCCTGAAATGACTGGCAACACTATTTTTTCTCTGTAGCTGAAACAGAGAGTGGAGTAAGTTGTCCACTGTCAGAGAGTGGCAGTACCCCAAAAATAGAGCATAAAGTTCCACATTCTCTTCTCAAGTTTTATTCAAGAAAGCCAAGTGTGCTTAAGAATCCTCTAAGTTTTCCTTTTAAAAAAAACTTTTACTGAACATCTCTCTGCCTTTCCTTTGGATTTCTCATTGGCAACACTGACAAACATTTATTGGCAACCCATCAGGAGTTAAATACAGTAAGTACTAAAGATATTATCATTACAGGTGGTTCTGCATTGACAGCTTTGTAGAAGAAGCGATTTTTGAAATTAAATGAGATTGAGAAATGTTGACAGAGAAGCAGTTCTGAAGTACAAAATGGTCAGAGGGAAGACTTAGAGGTAATAGAGAAGGGCCATTTGAGGAAACCTAAAGAGAAGCTGCCTCACATGTGGCTTGCAAAACAATCAAAATGGATGTCAGATGGTGAGGGTTTGGATTTTAAAATTTATACCTGAACTGACATAAAGGTGACAGGCCACCAGGGGAAGACTCTGAAGGAGGTGTAAACAGTAGCTTATTCTGGAAGAATATTTTGAGCAGTAGCCTACAGACCAGATCAAAGGAGAACAAGGCTGAGGACATAAAGCTCTCTGAGAAATGGGCTTCAGTAATCCACGTGTAATATTGCTGGAGGCAGTATAAATTGACACCATCTTCAAAAAATGAAAGTGATTTGGCAACACATAATAGCAACCATAAAAATATTCATATCCTTTGACCCAGAACATCTACTCCTAGAAATTTATCCTAATGAAATCATCCAAAGGACAGAAAAATTATATTCACTGCAGTGCTATCAAATGTTACAGAAGAAAAAAGACAACCTGAATATCTAACAACAGGAGACTAATTAAGTAAATTACTGTGCATTCATCTGAAACTTTATCATACTGCAGTTTTTTTAAAGATGGCTAAAAAGTTCTGTAACAACATGGAAAATTATTTCATGACAATAACTGTAAAAATAGCAAAATAGCAAATTGTATGTCTATGATGACAGTACCTATATCAATGTATGGATGGATGCATTCAAACAAAGGCTTGAGTGTTAAAAATGCAAAAATAAAAACTATACAGGGTTGGTGGAATTTCTGGTGGTTCCTTTGACAAAACTTGTTGGTATATTGTTTTTATTATTAAAAGAAAAAAATTAAGAGGTAAATGAATTAATAAACAAGAAAAGGAAGAACAAAAGCTTTAACTTAGAAATTTACAGACCCAAGGTTTAGTAAAAACTAACACTGAATAAAAGATAAAGAATCAGTAGATTGTTCTGTTGGTTATAAACTGAAGCCTAGTAAAGGTTCACTACAAATGAAAATACATAATTGCATTTAGAACTAAGAAAGCTTAATTTTTGCCGTATGTGAAATATTAATTCCATACATTATCTGGAATAAATATACCTAGTTGCCAATATACTAGTCCTCCTAAACTTTTTTTTTTTTGCATTTGTGGTAAGGAACAGAAAAACAAATCATCTTTTAGAAAGACCCTAAGTTATGAAAATATTTTTTAAAAGGTTTCTACATAGAATTAAATCTCTTAAGGTGATAATTTAGAATAGTACCAAGGACTAATTTTTCTCTTGCTTTTTAAATGTAAAGTTGATCCTGTGATAAAACTACAATATTAAAAAAAAGAAAGAAAAGAAGGGAAGAAGGAAGGGAGGCAGAAAAGCTTTCAAAAGTCCTGTCCAGCTAGCATGAGGACTTAATTTAATTAGCAAATATATTGGTGGTGTGAGGCAATAAACTGAATTTAGAACATGCCAATCTACTCAGAAACTCAGGCCCCTAAGGTTGTTTGCATTTAAAGATGTTCCCTAAGGCAGCCTTCTCTTATCCAACTTAGACCATACCTAACCTATTCTGTACCGGGCTTCCCTGGTGTCTCAGACAGGAAAGAATCTGCCTGCAATACAGGCAGACCTGGGTTCAAATCCTGGGATAGGAGACCTGGGTTGAAATCCTGGGTTGGGAAGATCCCCTAGAGGAAGGCATGGCAATCCACTCCAGTATTCCTGCCTGGAGAAAACCCATGGACAGAGGAGCCTGGTGGGCTGCAGTCCACGGGGTTGAAGAGCATCGGACATGACTGAGCAACTAAGCACAGCACAGCACAGCACAACTCTTCTCTCCCCTTTTTGAGGCTGAAAGGGAAGCGGATCCAGCGTTTCTGGCTGTAGATGCCTTTCTAGAACTGCTGGCCAACAGTCAACCACGTCACCTTCTTTATATGCTTAATTTCCAGATGAACAAGAGCAACAAGTCAAATATGAAACTGAACAGTAAAACTTTAGAGACCAAGTAAGTTAGTAACAGCTCAGTAACACATCCAGCTCTTGAGGACTCCCCCCGGCTCCCCCCTCACCCAGGTTTCACATCCCATGAATAGGCTAGGCTCAAAAGTCAGAAAGCACTGGTTTGAGCCCAGTCCCACTGTTTACTGAAAGTGTGACCTTGGTCAAGTTATTCAACTTTACTACCTGTCAAGAGTTTCCTTATCTTTGTGTATAGCACCTTGCACACTGCAGGTGTTCAATAAGTAGACACTACTGTTGTTACTGCACAGCCGATGGTGAGGCATCTGGCCAAATACTGATCCACTAGACAACTAGGATTTATTTCATAGATTTCCAAAGATATACTCAAACAGTACCAATGCAAAGCAATCAACCTAACTGGAGTGATGTCTGTCTGTGCGTGTATGTGTGTGGTGCTGTGTTTTAGAACAGAGATTATTTCTAGAACTAAAGCCCAGTGACTGAGATTATATAGTCCAATCTGGAAATAAGAACATGGACAACAAAGGGACAGCCCCTACACGTGCTCCTCATCAGAAATCTTCAGGATGAACCCAGAGAGTCAGAACTCAGCCTCAGAGTGTAAAACAAAATGTCCTCTTACATGGTCCAGGATGTTTATACACCCTATTCAAATGTGGAGGCTGTTTTTCTAGAACTGTCTCCAAATTAGGTCCCTATCAATTGGATTCTTCTAGCACATAAACACACCTCACTACTATCAGTGCTGTTTTCCTCTCTAATGAGGACTCATCTCAGAGACCTACCTACCTGTCTGTATCTTAAGTAACTTTTACCTTTCATTTGGCCATAAACTTGTCATGCTTACATAATGGAATTCTACTGGAGCTTGCCAAGGGGTAATCATATGCCCAGGTGGCCGCTATGGCCGCAAACCACCTCTGTAGTTATCATCATAGTTGATGAGGATGCTACACCAGTTTCTTCTCCTACTAATTCAGAGTATTGGACCCAGTGATCTTTGAGGTTCCTTCTAGTTCAAATATCCTGGATTCAAGGAACTAAGATACTTTTATGCACCTCAAGGCCCCAGATCACTGTTTATTGTTGATAATCATAATGAAGGCAACCAACATCTCTACTAAATCTGTTAAAAGAACAAGATACATGGCACTCAATACATGCTAACAGAGGAATTGAGAGGAGAGGAAAAGGGCAACCACTCTTCCTATTTTTAAAAAATACTTTCCTACACTGAGTCAATTTGCATTATGCCCTTGAGAAACAGGTAAATTTCCTTTTTCTGGGATAGACAGATCTTCCTTCTCCCCAAGATAACAAGATCAGTGAAGTAAAGAAGAAGGCTTGAAAATCAGAATCTCCTTAACACAGTAGAAATTAGATGTTACCTGGAGCCAGACAGGTAAATATTGCTCTAAATAGGGTACAAGGTATTTTACCAGCCATTAATAAGTACCAAGGGTCAAGGAAAAAGAAAAACTGAAGTATATTCTCTATTTTTTTTTTTAAATCAGGCTATGTCAACTCCATGCCACAGGGTTAATCCCTGACTTTTTTGTTTAGAACTAACAGCTATGGGTTTTTCTTCAGTGCCAGGCACTGTTCTGATTTATACACATAACTTATTTAATCCTGACAACAATGTATGATGCAGGTACAATTATTATCTGTGTTTGGCAAATGAGAGAACTGAGGGACAGTAAAGTTAAGTGCCTTGTTCTGCACCACATGGATGGTAAATTGGGGGTCAGAGTTCAGGCAATTTGGCTTCAGAACCTGTGCTCTGGCCACAGGACCTCTTGAGAACCTTGATCATTAGGGAATGCCTCCTAGATGCCTTGTACAGTATTTGGCATTATACATCAGTTAATTTAGACCTCATAATAACTTAGGTGATGGAACCCTATGTTACAGATAAGGAAACTGAGACTCAGGTTTAAAATAACTTATCCATAGTCATGAAGCTAATAAATGGCAGATTTGAAGCAAGATTTATCTGACTCCAAATTCAACCTTCTTTCCACAATACTTGAGCCTCCTTTTGAGAACGACAAACTAATCATTCTCTCTCTACATCTTTCATTTCCCTTCTTGGTTAGACTCTTTAATTCCTCATAATCACTTCATTCTAAACATTTCTCATCCATTTTTCCAGATAAAGAAAACGAGGCACATGGGAGACCCAGGCACATTTTTAGAATTTCAGATTCCATTTCCCAGAGAGTGAGACAATTAATTTGACCTCCTCATTCTTATTGCCAGACCACTGAAACCATACTTCCCCTTCTTCTTCATCTGCCTCTAACGTCTCTTCCCTTGAGGAGCAAAGCCCCACTGCCAACATGAAACGCAGCTGTTCTCTGGATCTACTGTAAACAGCATTAAACATGAAAGCTCTTTTCTGAAGGAGTTGGCCGACCCAGTTCACATCAAGCCACAGCATTCTCAAGGCTGGCCCCCAGCATGCCACCCCAAAACTATACACATTGGGCATTACAACTTTAAAACCATTCCCAAAGTGAAAGTTGAGAACTTAAGCTTTGATAGCACTTGGCCAGGAGTAGTAAATGAAACCAACCTGGAGGGAGATCAAGGAAAGGAAGAGAGAAACTGAAGGAAGCAAATCTGGAGTTCTAACTACTTTAGTCGTGAAGAGAAGGAGAAATATTAAAGGAGGTGATGAGATCCAGGTAGAGGTTTTTTCCTCCTCCCTTCCTACAGAAGAAAATTTCTATTTATTGCTGGGGATATAAGTGCTAAATAAACACTAGGTGATCAACACAACAGCCAAGTTTTCTGTTGCATTTTGTTCTTTTGAAAATATGTTTGTAGCTGCCTCAAGTCTTTTTTGGAAAGCAATTATAAATCAAGTTGCATGAATATACAGTCGGGCCTCCATATCTGCAGGTTCCACATCCATGAATTTAGTCAAACATAGATCAAAAGTATTTGAAGGAAAAAAACAAAACAAACTGGAAAAGTTCTAAAAAGCAAAAGTTGAATTAATGGGCAACTAGCTACATAGTATTTACACTGTATTTACAATTATTTACATAGCATTTACATTGTATTATTAGCAATCCAGAGATGATTCAAAGTATAAGGGAGAATGTGAATAGGTTATTCCCAAGTGGTGCTAGTGGTAAAGAATCTGCCTGCCAATGCAGGAGACACAAGAGACGCAGGTTCGATCCCTGGGTCAGGAAGATCCTCTGGAGTAGGAAATGGCAACCTACTTCAGTTTTCTTGCCTGGAAAATTCCATGGGCAGAGAAGCCTGGTGGGCTACAGTCCTTGGGGCTGCAACGAGTTGGACATGACTGAGCGACTAAGCACACAGCACACATGCCATTTTATGGGCTTCTCAGGTGGCTCAGTGGTATCTGCATGCCAATGTAGAAGATGCGGGTTCAATCCCTGTTTCAGGAAGATCCCCTGGAGAAGAAAATGGCACCCCACCCCAGTATTTGTGCCTGGAAAATCCCATGGACAGAAGAGCCTGGTGGGCTATATAGTCCATGGGGTCACAAAAGAGTTGGACATGACTGAGCAACTAAGCAACAACAACATGCCATTTTATATAAGGGACTTGAGCATCCATGAATTTTGGTATCCACGAGGGAGGGAAAGGGTCCTGGAACAAATCCCCAGCAGATACCAAGGGAGGACCATAATCTCCACAATATGTACACCTGTGCATTAAATGAATTTCTCCTAAGTTAAGCAGATATGCAACAATAAAGCATATCAGAGACTGAAGAAGCTAAGATATGAGTATAACTGAATCCATGCAGCCTCCCAAAGAAAGCAGCACAGTACTGTAAAAGCAATCAGAAAACCGAGATTCAAATCTCAGCCCCATCTCTCAATGACTGTGTGGACTTGGGGCAACAACATTCTAAATTTTCTCATTTGTGAAACGGGGAATACCGTCACTTTCCTCACTGGATTGTTGAGAAGATCAAACAGGAGTGAAGTTGCCTGATTTTTGGATATTCTCCACATAGGGCAGAAATGGCATACTGGCAGCTCCGTGATGCAAAGCATAGGTTAGTGCAGTGGTGGGCACATAGCAAACACAGAAATTATGAATGGAAGCAAATGAAAGGAAAAAAGATGTTATATCTAGGATGTGACATGGTGCTGGCTGTGTTTTCACAGAAGTCAGTCATTTCTACAAAGTAGTCTTCTAAATGGAAGAATAAAGGTGTGGTATGTCACCTTTAGAAGTGAGCTTGCACAATTCCTGGAAGGAAAAGTAATGGAGAGCTAACGGTTCTTGAAGAGACATTCAGAGAAATGACTGGGATATAAAAGAAGATACCTTTTTAGTGTAGAGTTGTAAAGTGGAAAGAATAATGAATGGTTTGAAGACCTAGGTTGGAATCCCAGCTCAGAAGTATGACCTTGGGCAAGTTACTTAACCGATATAGAATCTCAATTGCAAAACGCAGATAAAACCTCACAGGACAGCTGTCAAGATTAAATAAGATAAAGGATGGGAAAGCTGATAATGCGATACAAATAACAGGTATTATTAGGAGTTAGTCTCCCAGGTACAACACAGTAGGTCCACGACCTTGATGTGATTTCAGTTCCCCGTGCCTCGGTTTTCTCATCTAGAAAATGGGAAGGTTGATACTATCTACTCTACAAATATTCTGAGAATCAAGTTAGACCATATATGAGACATCACGCCTTGAAAACTGTACAGTGCTGTACGTCTATAAAGAACTGCCATCGTGGCCGATACGTCTTAAGCATGTCAAAGGCCGTGTTTATGCAAAGAAACACGTATTTTTATGCTATGCAGGTGAGGAAGCCTCGCATGCATTTCTGCATCCAAGAGTGGGGCACAGGGCACAGACAGACATTCACGGATTCCGGGGGTGTGACTTGCACGCTTGGGAAGAGGACCGTGGAACAAGCTGCTGGGCCGGAATCAGAGTGGTGGGCGCGAGGGTGGGGGCAGGGGGGGGATACAGGATGCACGGATGGAAAAGGCTGGGGGCACAAGCACGCATGCCCAAGCCGGAAACGTTTTCGGGGGAGAGCAATGCGCATCCCCGGCGCGAGGGGGGGTTGGGAGGGATGCGATATGCAAGCCCGGGGGGGCGGCCCAAGGGTGCTACACCGCACGCCCGGGGCCGGGGCTCTTTACCTTATCGCTGTAATCCCTTAGGACCCGCTCGATAGCCCCCGCCTCGCCGGCCCGGACGACGTAGAGGGCGCGCTCCTCATCCATGGCCGCAGGTGCGGGGGAGCCGCGGCCGCTCCGCGCGCCCCAGCCGCTGCCTCCAGGTAAACGCCTCGCGCCCCCGCTCGCTCGCTTCTTCCCAGCTTCCTTCCTTCCCTCCTTCCCTCCCTCCCTCTGCCTCCAGCCCGCCAGCCTCCGCCCGGGCAGGCCCGACGTCACCGCCCCTCAACTTTCACCCCGCGACGTCACCGGTCCCCCAGCAACCGGCGCTTCGCCGCCACCCCTGACAAGGCCCAGTACTCGGTAGAGGCCTGGCGGATGGCCTAACCTTGGGGGCCAGGCACGAGACCCTGCTTGCTCCCCTGCCTCTCCCTCCCCCGGAGAACAGTCCAGCCTTTTAAGTGGGCTTTCACAGACAGAGATGTTCTCTCCTGACCCTCCTCTATGAATCATTCTCCTCAGCTGACGAGAGCGACCCGGCTCTTCCCCGCCCCTCTAAGAGCCACCAGCTAAATGGACTACAATTCCCTGCGTGCGACGGGGTCATTCCACTCTTCCATCTAATCTACTGGAGTGCCGAACGGCATGTCGGGACTCGTAGTCATCCAGCGGGAAAGACTTCCCGCCAAAGGCATGCTGGGAACTGTGGTCCTGCAAAGGCCGGAAACGGGAGTCCAGCGGCCGCCTGAGGCCAGAGGCCCGGAGACCGTTAGGGGGAGGGTCCAAACGTCGGCTCTGCCTCCTTTTTGTTCCTTACAGAGCTGACTGTCCTGCTCGAGCCTTGGCTGGTCGGACTGGTTGACAGCCGCGGAAACTGGCACCCCTTGGTGGGAACTGTCATGCACCGTTTTAATTCCCTCTTTTCTCGTTTAGCGGTTTCGGTCTCTTTGAAATTCTTTCCTTCCTTCCTTGTTTGCGGTCATGCTATGTATTCAGCTACAATAATGTGGGAAATGGTAGGCAGCTCTCGGATAAAAGGAGACTCGGCGGGGTTTTTTGCCTTCATAATAATAATAATAGCCGCCATGGATCGCGTGTTAGGGACTCAAGAGTCAGTGTTAGGTGACTTCTCACGGCACTGAGATTTTTGTGGAACCATAGGAGTCCGAATAGGTTAAGTAATTTGTCCAAAGTCACTTACTGTCCATAGCCAGTGAGTAGGGAATTCGATATTTGTATCTACGTATTTCCCCAAAGGCAGGTCCTCTACGACCGCTAGTAAAGGTAATAATCTGGTTATCCTAGTAATGGTAATGGTGATGGTGATGATGGAATCTCACATTTGCTAAGTGTTCGCTACATGCAGACATTCTGTCACATACTTTACCTATGTTATCTCAGTTTCTTACAAACCAAGTCAACAAATATTAGAGAATCTATGCTGTGCCAGACACTCTTCAATACAGTACAGTACAGTACAGTTCAATGTGTCTACAGTGGGCCCAAAATAAGTCCCTACTATTATGGAGCTTCCATTTTAGTCGTTAACCTTATGCTCAGTTGCTTCAGTCATATCCGACTCTTGGTGACTCTATGAGCTGTAGCCCACCAGGCTTCTCTGTCCAGGGGATATTCCAGGAAATGATACTGGAGTGAAGTGCCATGCCCTTCTCCAGGGGACCTACCCCACCCAGGGATCAAACGCACATCTCCTGCCCCTCCTGCATTGCACGCAGATTACTGCTGAACCACTGGGGAAGCCCTAAGCTTGTGAGGGAGGTTCTATTCTTAAGATGAGTAATCTGAATCTTGAAGAGGTTAATAGGTTAATTTACTGATACGGCACAATTTGAAAACTGAATTTGATCTAGGATCCTATCTATGCTCTTTCTATTCTCCCAAACTATTTTCTAGAGTGTGGATGAATTCTCTAAGTAACTTTCAGTTTTCCATTCCAAGCTTCCTTTACCAGAATCATCTTGCATGCCAGCCCTGCTTACCTCTCCCTCTTGAGCTGTGCTGAAGAATTAGAAGGGGCAAAAATTTATTCATCTAATAATTATTGAGTTTCTTGTATGTGTCAGATGTTGTGCTAGGATCTGAGAACTTAGAAATAAGAAGTATGGAATCTGAGTTCGTGGAGCTTTTGGTCTTTTGGTGGATTGTACATTTCATGCAGCAAACCTTTATTGAGCATATTTGTTGAGCCAGATATTGGGGTAAGTGCTGTGTCCATAACGTCAGAAAGATTTTGGTCTATCTTTTTAAAAAGCACCTTCTTAGGCCATGGTTTAGTAAGCTATATTCCTCATTTAATAGTAATTTCTTGCAGTTATCTTTAATTGTTTACAAAGCATTCTACTGTACACCATCTCAGTGGATCACTGAGCAAGGTATTCCCATTTACATATAAGAAATCAGGCTCGGATTGGTTAAATAACACCAACTGAGACTCAAACCAAGAACTGTAACATACAATATTTGGTTGCCTACTCTCTGTCCAGTACTGTACGACATGGTTTTTGGGTGACTGTATATTTATTTTTGGAGCAACAGCTCCTGAACAGGATACCAGCTAGCATAAAGTATCTGAGTAGAAACATTTATTTTAAAGAGGGTCTTATACACATGGGTTTGAAATGTCTGTTTACCCGAAATAGGCTTATGTTTTTAGGCTTCAACCCTCTACTTCTAAAAAGAGATTTTAAAAATGTGAAACCACATGAATTAATGGCTTGGGAAATTGCACTTTAGTAATTTTAATTAAGCACTAATATTCTGATTTTATAAATCAAAAGGATCTTTGACTCTAATTCAAGTCATCCTTTGACCACTGACGAGACTCTGGTCCCAGAAAAATTAAGTGACTTGTCCAAAGTCAATAGTTAAAAGCAGACTCTGGGACTAGAGCCTAGACTAGCTAAATTCTGGATCACTACATCACTTTACCTCCCTGAATAATTAGTTATGTGATACTTTCAGTGACTAGAGTTTCTAGTTCAGCAGTAACTCCAGTTCCTGTTGATTCTTGGCTGGCTTGATGCCAAGGAGTTGGGATTTAGAGTCTGGGTAATCAAAGCAACAAATATTTATTCACAAGTCACTGCTCTAAGATATAATAATATAATTCTGTATTTATGTTTGGATAGTGCTGTACTGTTCTCAAAATATCTCCACATAGATCATCTGACTTAATCCTTGTAATAGCTAGAAAATGCAATGTCAGTAGGATAGGCACTATCTTCCTTTTTATAAAGGGGAAGTTCAGTGTATGGATTAGCTTGCTTATGAGCAATAAGTGCTCATAAGTGGTATAGTTAAGGGCTAGAAATGCTCTGGGCTCTGATAGCATAAAATGTTACGACCGTATGGGTCAGGGCCAATGAAAAACCCTGCAAATAGATACTAGTCATTTATTTTGGACTTTGATATATCCTGTGCTGGCATTTCCTCTGCCCTAACAATGGACTGGTCGGAATGTGCCAAATTAAAGGTCTTATAGAAGTATCTGGCGGTAACAGCTTTTAGAATCCAAGTCTTTCACATGTAATATTTTTTATACATTTTCTTTAGAAGAAATTTAAAAACTAAACAGCTTGGCCTACTCACTACAGTTCCAGAATTGGACTTCAGAGAATTTCAGTAATTCAAGATGCAAAGTGTCATTCAACAACCACCATGCCACCACGGGAGGCTACTCTCTCAACATCATCTGGTGTCCTCAATTGTAAAATAAAGGAACTGATCCAGATAATCTTGTTCTCTCTCAGTTCTAACATTCTATGATCAAAGGACAAGAAAAGCATATTTGAACATGTTCATTCTTTAGACCAATTTATTAATGAGTGAGGTTTTATATATAAATATGTGCAAATCAAATTACAATGTGATGTATGCAAAGCATGGCTTGGGCATACCTGCAAGGATTCTGATTTAGTTGATCTGTGGTGAGGCCTGGGTACTGGTAGTTTTAAAAGCTTCCTGGTTGATTCAGGTGAACAGCCAGGGTTGAGAATCACTGGACCAATATTCTGATAGACTATCAACCACTAAACGAATATAATTTTTTTGTAGACTAACAAACTTTTAAGCATGTGACTCATTAACTAGTCTTTGAGAAATCAGAATAATCTAGGAGGTTAAAAGTTACCTTAAATTCATTTTCTATTAAGAATGAAGTTTCTTTTCTGTAGCAAAGTTATTTGACATGGTTTGTACCTTTAACAAATAATCTGGGGCTCTCTGGAGCAGAGCATTGTCTTCAGTCAGTTCAGTCATTCAGTCGTGTCTGACTCTTTGCAGTCCCATGGACTGTAGCATGCCAGGCTTTCCTGTCCACCACCAACTGCCAGAGCTTACTCAAACTCATGTCCAATGAGTCAGTGATGCTATCCGATCATCTCATCCTCTGTTGTCCCCTTTTCCTCCCGTGTTCAATCTTTCCCAGCATCAGTGACTCAGTTCTTCACATCAGGTGGCCAAAGTGTTGGAGTTTCAGTTTCAGCATCAGTCCTTCCAATGACTATTTAGGACTGATTTCCTTTAGGATGGACTGGTTGGATCTCCTTGCAAGTCCAAGGGACTCTCAAGAGTCTTCTCCAACACCACAGCTCAAAAGCATCAATTCTTTGGCGCTCAACTTTCTTTATAGTCCAGCTCTCACATCCATACATGACTACTGGAAAAACCATAGCTTTGACTAGACGGACCTTTGTTGACAAAGTAATGTCTCTGCTTTTTTAATATGCTGTCTAGGTTGGTCATAGCTTTTCCTCCAGGGAGCAAGCATCTTTTAATTTCATGGCTGCAATCACCATCTGCAGTGATTTTGGAGCCCAAGAAAATAAAGTCTGTCACTGTTTCTACTGTTTCCCCATCTACTTGCCATGAAGTGGTAGGACCAGATGCCATGATCTTAGTTTTCTGAATGTTGAGTTTTAAACCAACTTTTTCACTCTCCTCTTCCACTTTCATCAAGAGACTCTTTAGTCTTCTTCACTTTCTGTCATAAGGGTAGTGTCATCTGCATATCTGAGGTTATTGATATTTCTCCCAGCGATCTTGATTCCAGCTTGTGCTTCATCCAGCCTGGCATTTCGCATAATGTA